TTTCAAGTCCTTATCAAAAACGGAATCGTCAATTTCCAAAAGGGCGCTCTGGCCTAGTTTTTTTTTTTTTTTTTTTTTTTTTTTTTTTTGCCTAAGTTATTAGCTAGCTGATCAAATCAGTTCTATAATCATAACCGACGTTTAGAAAAAGACCTGTTAACCAATAACTAAAGTACAACTCTGAGAAACTGATTAATAATCTCTTAACTAAGAAACTAGAAATAGAATTAGAATCCAAACCAAACAGGCTTTGAAAAAGTCAAGCTTCAAAAAAGAAAAAGAAAGTCTATGTTACTCTAAACAAAAGATACAATTGAAATATAAATAATTTCTGCCAAAGCACCCTGTAATCCTTTTTTGTTTTAAACTGAATCTTATTAAGGTATCCACTTTATTGTTTTTTATTGCTGGGTAGAATTTCGGAATATCCACTACCTAAACTAGTCGAATAAGCAAGCCTGTCGTTTTCGTCATATTAATTTATTGGTTTTGATTATGTTATTTTTCAACCACGAAAGAATAGTCTACGCTTTTTAATTGACAAAAGAAGCCATGGAAATGGAATTTGATCTAAGACAATGAAAGAAACAACTGGAGTGGTAGTTGATGCCGTTCCTTTCTTCCTTCTTTTTTTCTTTCTATTTTAGAAAAAAAGTCGAAAATTATCATCACATTAAAAATTGTTCAATTTTATATTTTGTTATACTTTGAGTTCACTTATGTCTTACTGCTAGTAAATTGGTTCGTATATGTCTCTACTATTAATGCAGTACCAGCATAATATATAAATTTCGCATGTCAAAATATTGGAGAAAAGAAAATTGGGTCTATCCTCTATTTTTGTTTACCGTTCAAGTTGGGGTGTTCGTTAGTGGTCAAAAGCAAAAAATGAAACTTTTCTAATACTGAATTTGGATGGTTGTTATGTATCATTTTAATATATATAATATTTATATAAATTGTATTGTATTTCGTCGTTTGGTGATGTCATACACCAACAAATGAAGAATAAATGTGTAATATTAACAAAGAAAAAGTAAGGTACAATGTAGAATTATTGTATGAAAATGTAGGATAAATGATAAAATAGGATTATTTAATAATAAGAAATGGTAAAATGAAAGGAAAAAATAAGGTAGCTGTGCGACCATACCAAATCAATAAAGTGGCACTTTTAACGATGAATTTGACGATACAATACAATAAAATTTAAGTTAAAATCAAAATAAATATTATATTTAAAGTAACAATATGATACAATATAACAAGTAACCATCCAAACAAGCCGTAAGATTAGACCAAAAATATGACGGAGAACAAAATTGTTCAATTTTGACTAGTGAAGGAGTAAATTGACCATTTTTCATTTTCGTCCAACGTTATACCATGTTCTTTTCTTCTCTATAATTTGGTAAGTCTTTTTTTTCTTTTCGTTTTTTGGATTTTCACCCGATGTCTAGTACTTATATTGGAGCTCGACTGTATCCAAACATGTCAGGTAGGACCCTATTCGGGGGCAAAGTGCTCCCTACCAAGTAATTTTTTCATTCTCAGGGCTCAAACTCGAGGCCTCTAGTTAAGTGAGGAGCAATCCCATCCGCTGCACCACAGCATTTGGTAAATCTTTTAACTTTCTCTTCCTGGGGAGGCTTATAGTACAGCATAGAAACTGAACAGAAAAAGAGAAATTTTATTAAAAAATGGTATATGAGGAATTATGTGTCTCAATTATCAACATTTTTTTATTACATAAAAGAACCCACGAAAATGGAATTTGATACAAGACAGTGAAAGAAACAACTAGCGTGGCAATTTGAATTTTCAATGTTGAAATAAACTAAAGCAAAAAAAGAAAGAAGTTGGAAGAAAGTGGGAGACCTTATACTAACTTGTTTCTTATTTGGCAAAATAAAATTAACGAATTTGACATTTTTGACCAAGTATAAAGTCTGCTACTAATATGCTGCTACAGAATCTACACAGAAAACGAAAATTCCCAGAAGAAGAAGAAGCTGATGATCATAAGATCATCGTCATCTCTGTTCAAAAACAGAGTTTTAGCAACAGGGGAGGGTGATTTTGAATCATTAAAATAGTGAGTTTGGCTCAAATTTCTGTCTTTAATATGAAACATCGTAAAAAACGTACGATTTTGGCAACCATCCAAATTCCTAGGAGATTTTTGTTCTGGTGTACTCTTCTTCTTGTCTGCTTCGCTGGCTTCACTTTTTCCTCTGTTCGTCTTCTTTTTCGAGGTATTACTGCTAATTCTCATTTAATTTAAGTGTTTTAAACTACTCTTATATTAATTTCATTTCCAAATACTGCTCTTTTTCCTAGCAATAAATACTGCTTGATGAGTTCAACTTTATGTTTTGGTCAATGTACCAATTGCACTTAATTATAGTTTCAGAACATAATATTTGTTGCAATTTAAGTGATATTCCACGTAACCATTGAGTTTATGCTGCATCTGCCCCTGTATTTTGTTGCCTATTCTTTTCCTAAATTCAGTTTCGATATTTTGATTATTTGCTTAATTGTATGTTTTTTGACCTAGTTCTTATGATAGGAGCGGTTAATATTTTTGAAATATGATGATTGATTAACCTTTCTAAATATGGTAATTTGATTAAAGTATAAAGTTGGATAACTAGTACCTTTCCATTTCCGAACTACAGGGTTCCATCCATGGCGGCTGGCGGCGAAGACAGCGATCTCCGGTGTTTCACCGGAATTCTCAATAATAGAAACCGTCGAATTCCCAGACGAGACGCTTGTTTTCCTAAAATACCCTCCTTTAACTCCCTTATTTACCAAACATGACATCGACTGTCTCTACCTTACTCCTAATAATTCTTCTCAATCTCCACACTCAGTTGAAAATGATGAACTTTTGAGCCAACAAATAATCCATTGTCCCATGATCAATCCACGTGGCATGCTGACGTCACTTTCCGTCGAGCCTACTGGTCACACTTTCCCAATTGGGCCCACACGCCGGTGGCATTCTTTGGCCTATGAGGCCATGATTGATCACGATAACACAACTATAGTTTTTGTCAAAGGCTTTAATCTTCGGGGCGGAAAACAATCCGACCCGTCAAAATTCAAGTGTGTTTATGGTTGGGATATTAAGAAGCCCAAGTTATTGTTACAATCAGATGTCATATCCATTGCTCAAGAAATTGTTAGATGTGAAACTCCATTGAGCATTTTGAATAATCCACAGAGGTTTATTGGTAGTAACATGGATCAGCCCATTAAGGTTTCTGTTAGAATGGTTGGTAAAGAACCTTTAGAGTCCATAGCGAGTCCTAAACGCCGTCTTCAGCTCAACTTGCCAGGTCAAAAACAGCATCAAATGTGTGTGTGCACAATGTTAAGGAACCAGGCAAGTTTTTTGCAAGAATGGATCATGTACCACAGTAAAATCGGAGTACAACGTTGGTTCATTTACGACAATAACAGCTTGGATGACATTGAAGATGTCGTTAAGGTATTATCAGTGGATCAGAATATAAACGTGACACGACATGTTTGGCCTTGGATCAAGACTCAAGAGGCTGGTTTTGCTCATTGTTCTTTACGAGCAAGGGATGTGTGTGAGTGGGTTGGTTTTATGGACGTGGACGAGTTCTTCCACTTGCCTACTGCTCTGTCATTACTTGACGTATTGAGAAATCAATCCCAGAATTCTAATAGTAATGTTGCTGAGTTGCGGGTCTCGTGCCATAATTTTGGACCATCGGGGCTCAAGCAAGTCCCTGCACAAGGTGTGACGATGGGTTACAATTGCAGGATGATTGCACCAGAGAGACACAAGAGTATAGTGAAACCAGAAGCATTGAATACAACATTAATCAATGTGGTTCATCATTTTCATTTGAAGTCTGGGTTTAGGTATGCTAATATGGATAGAAATGTGATGGTGATTAACCATTACAAGTATCAAGTTTGGGACGTATTCAAGGAGAAATTCTACAGGAGGGTAGCTACTTATGTGTCTGATTGGCAACAAGATAGAAATATTGAGTCCAAAGATCGTGCCCCGGGTTTAGGGACACGAGCTGTTGAACCACTGGATTGGTCTAGTCGATTTTGTGAAGTTATTGACACTGGCCTAAGAGATCGAGTAGCAGAGATGTTCACAGACCCGAACACTGGTCATTTACCCTGGCAAAAATCACGGACATGATCTGAAGTTTTCGACTTAGTGGATACAGGGGGTGATCATTTCTTTTTGTGTTATTTGTACATGAAATAGTCGACATATTCTTTTTGTACATGAATTTACGTCACAACCAAAAGATAATTAGAAAACGAAAGTTGATTGTTCTATGTACCCGTACTTGTATCTGGTGAAAGTCAAACTCATTTTTAGCATCTTATGACGTGCATTCCTTTGTGATTTTGATTATGAAACCAATAATTGAGCTACAATAGAATATGTTCTGTAACATGAGATGACCTATATCCTCATATTATATGCATTTCTATACATTCACTCAACATTCTCTCATATTCCTCTCTGGAGACACCAAAAAACAAAACATGACTCAGCTACAAGAATATTTCATGTCCCACATTATAATATTTCATGGCTGACTATCAATGTAACGGATCATTGCCGATCCTTTGACTTCATCAACAAGATTCTGGCATATACAACAGCTATCATTCGTATGATCAGAATTAAAAAGAGAGTAATAACAAAACAAAACACACACACACACACACACATTTACTAAGCGTCAATAAGTTGTTCAAACTATATATTGTCCTTTTAAGCTTGTTATAGAGATTAGTCTTTTAAAATGTCAAGAAACAAGGCCTGTCAAAGAAGCTTGCAACAGAGGCATTTGTTTTTCAAAACATTCCATTAGATTTCAACTCACATTCACAGGATTCACCCTACATCAGATTCTTTTACTAGTTCCCCCCTGCAGAACCAGTTTTTATATAAACTTGCTTAGACTGCGATACCAAGAAAGCAAACGAGTTGTAATAGCTGAATTTTAGAATTTAACAACTCGTTTGCTCCTATAAAAGTTACAACTCCTATAGACTTAGTTTCAAGTTTCAAGCATCAGAACTCGATAAAAAATTACAACTAACAATGGCTTATGGTACAACCTCAGGTGTTCCAAGTGCAATGGAAAATAAAATACAAAATTTATGTTCCACGGCCTCCTCTAACACGAATGTTAATGGCTCTTGACGCCATGGCCCTTAAATTTGCTCTGGCTAGAGCGAGCGAGCTCCTGTACTGCTCATCAGCAGAACTCCTTGTCCTAAAGGATTCCATGAACTCCTCTCTCTGCATTCTCAGTGCCAATGCAGCATCCTCGTCTTGGCTTGGTAACTCCCTCCTCGAATTATTGTCTCTATTTCTGCTTGGCATTACAGCAGCTTGGACACTTTGTCTTCTCATGGAGCGAGAATTCCTTCTTTCTTGACTACTAGGACCAGATTCTGGACTGTTAAGCGCAAACACTCTTGATATTCTGCTGCTAGTGATGTTAGAATGAGCTGTAGCAGCTTTTAATGGACTTTTGCGTCGAGCTTCTCTACTATTCAAAGCTCCAGCAGCTTTTCTTGCTTCTATTTCTTTAGGAAAAAGAAGCTGAATTGTATTCCAAAGTACTGTGTTTACAGTGCAAGATCTTCCATTGCTGCAAATATCAAGTTTAACAGGAATATATCATACTTGAAACAACTGAAACACCAACTGAAATCCTTTTTAAGCTTCTCTAATTACATTTAAATGAAATATCATCCTAAGTTGTACCTACCTTATAAGCTGCCTGCACTTTGGACATTTCTTTCCACATTTATCAGCAGCAGATCTCAGACACTTCTTGCAAAAACTAGAGAAATAAAATTAACAAAATAGTCAGAGTCAGTGAATTTATGAATGAATGTAACTTGATGAGAATGTCATTTAGATTCTACCTGTGACCACAAGGAGTGGTACTAGGTTCAAAACATATCTCCAAACAAATCTGCAAAAATTCAAAGAAATTATTTCTAAAATGAAATAAGAAATGCAATAAAAAACACCCCTCTATAGATAAATGAAAAGGCGCATCATCAAGGTTCAAGAACGGATCGACTCTTACAGCGCAAGAAAGCTCTTCACGAAGTCGATCAATGCATGGAAATGCGGATGAAGAAGAGGCTGAAACAGAACATCCTTGTTCTTCCAATCCTGCAGCTCCTTTCTTCTCTGCTTTCTGAATAGATTTTGATTCTATGTTCTTATCAGAAGATGAAGCAGAACATCGCGGTTCTTCTGATGCCTCAGCTCGTTTCTTGTCTAAATTCTCAATGGATTTTGATTCTGCCTCCTTTTTCTCGCTTTCTACAGAGAACACCAACATCAGGAAACTATCTACTATCAGTCTAATTCAATCAGGAGCTCATAATTTACCTTGTTTGGCAGTGTCATCCTCGTCATCCAGATCAAGAACAGTCACAGGTATGGACTCAGGGCTCCTCTTCTGAACCCTTCTTTTCCTGAAAAAGATCACAAATTTTTAACATTTCCCAATACCCCATCAAAGAAAAGTGACTAATAATATAATCAGACAAGGTTTGATCCAAATCTGGATCCTGACATATAAGCAGTGATTGCACGGACTATATACATTACAACAACAACAACAAAGCCTCAGTTCCAAACAAGTAAAGTAAACACAGACAAATCAAGGGGATTCAACATTTACTACATATAATAAAAAATAATTTTGATCTTGTGTATACAATGTAATTTTTTGGCTAAGGGGATTGATCCCGCTGGTTCTGCCCCAGGAGGTCGGCTATATAAATTCTCTCTGACCATGTTTACTCCATTCAAATCATTTCATGCCAATACTATGCACTATATACGTATATAAGTTTATTTTAAAAATTTACTGATATGTCTATACATATAAATAGTGCAAAGTACCTTCTGGAGTTTGTTGGGGGAGTCTTGAAATGCAGCAAATCGGAACGTTTCTTTTGTTTAGGAAGGCGATCGGGAGTGTCTTCAACGACAAGACTGGCAATAAGAAGAGCTTCTTCGTCCCAACCAGCCATAGCAGCCACTGATCTGAAATTTGGGCTGAACAAAGAATCGACTCTTTCTCCATTTTTGGGTTCTTCAGATTGTTTAATTGGGTCGTTTTTTGTGTTAAGGGGACTCTTGATTGAATCTTCGTTCACCATCCTATTTTTTTTCCTCTTACTCCCTCTGTTCTTGTGATGAAGTTCCGAGAAAGAATGAGAAAAGGCTCTAGGATTTAACGGTCATTTTTCTTTTGAATGAGATTCTTCTTGATTTCGTTTGGGTAACGGCTATATTTAAGCCGATCAGGTGTGTTGTGGTACAGTTTAGTATGCTGTACTCTTCCTTTTATTTTCTTTATTATTTATATTATATTTAATTTTATTTTTCAAGGACTCTATTGCTTATTGCTGTTTCTTTTGGCTCTTTCTGAAAATGGAAAATATCTATTTAGGTCCCTCGGTTGTTGCAATATACATTGTGCACACCTCAAAAAAAGCATAAATGTTATAAAACAATAAAAGAAGAAGAATATTGCAGAGAGAAGTAGGGAGAGAGAATTCTTATTGATTTTTTGGATGAATTACAATGGAATAGAACCCTCTATTTATAGGGAGATAGTGACTTAGCCACCAAGTAATTAACCCTAGAATCTCTCTAAATATGGACATTCACCATAAATAGAATTCTATTTATAACACTCCCTCTGAATGTCTATTCAACAGATAATGTGCCTCGTTAAAACCTTAACTAAAAGAAAACCCAATGGGAAAAAAAATTCTAGAAAAGGAAAAAGAGTACACATGTTTAGAAATGCACCTATTGGTTGCCTCGTTAAAAACCTTGCAAGTAAAACCCAGTGGGACAAAACCTTGCAAGGGAAAAATAGTGCAACGCGCATTAACTCCCCTTGATGAGAGCATCAATTCACATCCTTAAGCATTTGCATTCCAATCTTGTGCACAATCGTTGATAGATATTTGATAAACAATATCAGCCATATTAACTTCAACAAATTTGTTTCACCTTGAAATCATCATCCCTGATAGATGTATTGTCTTCATATGATCTTGTTGTAATCGTTAGTTCAATATCTTCACATAGAGGTGAAAACTCTTGCTATCACATTATCATGCCTATAGTTATAGCAAGATACATTTGTGCACAAATTGCACTAAGGAAGTGGTACTTCAAGATCAAGAATTGTATATGCTTCAAGCAACTAAAATCCTTCATGGATTGTCATATAAATTAAGTCAAAGCCATATAGTAGACTTTAGATGCATATCAAGTTTTCATGTCATGCTAGACATATATGATATCGAAAACTGATTGCACATACCATTGACTTTATACCTTCAAGTGTTTGGACTGTAGGTCCAAAACAACATGTCTTTCATATGAAACCAAATTCTACTTGAATTGTCTCTCTTCTATTTGGCCAATATTTTTTGTGTCTATATTCGACAGACTTAAGATCCTCATCTATACTTAGCGCTATCATAGATATCGTCGACGAACATTTTATATCGGTTTCAACCTCCTAATTTTTCATAAAGACATAACATAGAGATCTCTTCATTCATATATTCAGGTACCTGAATCTCTCATGAGATTTTATGAAGTGTTATGTCATGTGATCTTCTAGATCACTTGCCTCCTTTAATATGATCATTTTGATCATTTGCTCATCTTCTTTATCAAGAAGTTTATTTGAAACAGACTTGTCTATATGCTTCAAGCGTACCATAGACTTTGTCATTCTAGGACTTAATAAGAGCATTTGCAATGAGAATATAGTTACTTTCTTTCGGTCAGCAAATGCGTCCGGCATGCTTTGCAATATATTGCAGATGAATTATCTTTTATGAACTTCAAGTTCATATTATCTTATTCGAGGATCGAGATGTATAAATAATAATTCATTCCATGTAACTTTTTCTCAAATGTTATCATCTCTCCCCATCTTGTTAGAAAAACTAACTTGCTTCATCATCTTTGTGCGTTTGGTGTTAATCAAAATATACACCGCACATCAATAATAATAATAAGATGGAATTATTTGGTTCCTGACCCTGAACCACTCGTGAGGGGAGAATGTAATATACTTTCGTATATAACCTATATCAAACTGATATAGATAACTTTGTTCTCATAAGCAATAGTTTAGCTATTAAGTAGAGGCACTTAATAAATTATTTTGCTAAACCAACTGTGATGTAAACCAACTTATCAAGATGAACTTCTTGAATAGAAAATCTGGAAATTATGCTCTAAATCAAATTATTGAGCAAGTTACCTCGCAAACACCATGTTGCGGGTTAATAATAATCGCACATGTAACCATCTCATAGATGCATCTTATGTGGTATACATGGCAGGTGAATGGGCCCATATTCACCTTTGATATTTCCAGCATTCATGGGATTCAATCCCAATTTTAATTGGTCTATTAATTAATGAGAACAAGCAATATAAGAGAATTCGTAAAGAACTTTCTAGTTCTTTAATATTTACCCATGTGAATTCTCTATTATTTTTGCACATCATACATGAATTAACATGGCTAAACCAATTATGCCAACTGAATAAATTATCAATATTGATAAACTTCAGGTTTACACCATGATGTGTGCAATTATGAATAAACTCCAAGTTTATTATGATATGGGTTTTTATATCAATAAACATCCACTTTATTGTGGTATTCTTTTATTTGTGTAGTACAAACTGGAGAATAAAGCGGGTAGCTTTTCACATACATATTACCCCGCTACAAGTTGTAGTAATAGAAGATATTAAATCTTTCCTTTATTTATAGTCTCAATATAATCAATCGCTTTCGCGTATACTTTGGAAACTGAATAAGTTTCTTTGAGACTTACTACAACACAATACCTTATTGGTAATCAATTGTGTTTCTCCAAAATAGTAATAATTGGCTCTTCCAGAGTTCTCAATTAATTTTGTAGTACCACATATTCATCAACATCCATATGGTGAATATCTCTTTTAAAGAGAAAGTTATACCATTATGGTTATGGTCAAAATTATATGCAAGATCTGTTTCTTGCATTACCGTTGTCTTTTAACAATCACAATGCCAAAATATTTTGGCGTACAATAGGTACATGACCAATGACCATTCATGTCATAATAATGACATTATTTTCTTATATCATCTCAAACCTCCTTTTAGAGGTGAGTGTGGTATATTCACTACCACTAGCACGTTCATATTCTTTGAAGAATGAATATGTATTCATAAATCAGATGTTGTCACATTCGCATCATGAACGGACCATAATCATCTATATGTGCTTTACAAAATCTCATGTCAAATCGATGACAAATATTTTTCACAGAGTGAAAGATTATTTTGAGAATCCTTATTGTTCTCATTACCACAAATGATGGCGATTATAATTTCGTCTATTGCCGCGTCCATATTCATTGATACATTCATAGTAATAATTTTGTCTTCTTTCAGACTTATCACATACTGCTATCACATTCTCTTAAGGGAATGAGAATGGAGCAAATTCAATGGGACGGGTTTTCAATTCTTTGTCCACAATCATACATGAATTTGATCATGTCGAGGCATAGAAATTTTACCATTTCAGGTGGTTATAATTTCTTACAAACTCCATTAGAGTTGTAATCAAACTTTGTTGTCTTTGCTTGTATTTAAAATCAAAGTATAGAATAAAAGAGAAAAATACGGTAAAATACTTACCTTAAATCCAGAATTTAATCATGAAGGAAGTTCATGGAATAATTGACAATCATTATGCTCAATCCCAAAGCTTCTACTCAATTGGTTAGAGGCTCGTGCTGATAACGTGTTATAAAACAATAAAAGAAGAAGAAGAATATTGCAGAGAAAAGTAGGTAGAGAGAATTCTTATTGATTTTTGGGATGAATTACAATGGAATAGAACCCTCTATTTATAGGGAGATGGTGACTTAGCCACCAAGTAATTAACCCTAGAATCTCTCTAAATATGGACATTCACCATAAATAGAATTCTATTTATAACAATAAATATTATCTTAGTAAAATGGTCTACTGTACCGTAGCATTAAAAGGTTTTTGTAGTTAAATAGTAATAACATATGGAATTTTTACATTCCTATGCCACATAGGAAACTTTATTACCCTCAATGTTTAAGGTTTGACTTAATTACACTTAGTATACCAAATTACCAATTCTATACCATAGTGTATTTTAGCTTGTAGCTTGTAGCTTTAATTTTTCCTCAAAAGCTCGGACCGAATCAATATCCTGTCGGAAACTTGCAACTGCCATATTATGCAATAGGAAGAAATTCAATCTACGGTTAATGCCAAAAACACTTTAATTTCTGCAACAAATATGAAAATAGGACTCTTCTTTTTTCTAACGTACTTATTAATATAAACCAAATAAGAAAAGACCTTCTATTTATTCTACAACTACCATTCTGCCTTCTAAATATATACATTAAAATATGATGGTGTCGCTGTATGTATTTTTATACGTACTAGGTGTAAGATAAGTTAAAAAATCCTCACCAGGAGATTCAGTCACGACATAAAATGAGAAAATACCTTCTATATATGTATTCTATAATTATCCTTCTGATTAAATATCAAAATATAATGGACTTATTGAATCGATTGTAGCTTGTAGCTTAATTGGTATTTTCGACATTGGTACAATTTCTCATTCAATTGTAGCTTAATTGATATTTTCAATATAATTGCGTTTTTTGCAGAAGATTTGTAGAAGTTTTAGTCGTTTTTGATTTGTGAAAACAAAAAACAAAGCATCTACAATCAGAATACAAATAATCTACAATTTATCTACAAAATATCTACAAACTGGGTACATTGAATTTTAATATCCCAATTCCCATTCAATTGTAGTTTAATTGGGATTTTCGACATAATTGCGTTTTTTGCAGAATATTTGTAGAAGTTTTAGTCGTTTTTGATTTGTGAAAACAAAAAACAAAGCATCTACAATTAGAATACAAATAATCTACAATTTATCCACAAAATATCTACAAACTGGGTACATTGAATCTTTATATCCCAATTCCCATTCAATTGTAGCATAATTGGGATTTTTGACATAATTGCGTTTTTTCAGAAGATTGTAGAAGTTTTAGCTGTTTTTTATTTGTGAAAACAGAAAATAAAGCATCTACAATCAGAATATAAATAATCTACAATTTATCTACAACTTCTGCTTCTTCTTCTTCTTCTTCTTCTTCTTCTTCTTCT